GGGTAGGGGGAGTGGGTGAGGGGGGAGGGGGAGGGTAGGGGGGGGGTGGGGGGATGGGGGAGAAAGGGGGGTTTGGGAGGCAATAAAGTGGGGAGGGCTTGGGGGGCGTGGGGGGAAAGGGAAGGCTGAGGTGGTTGAGGAAGAGGGGAGGGTTTTGGGGAGTGGTGGAGAGGCGAAGGCTTAGGTGGCATGGGGGAGAGTGGGGAGCTTAGGGGGGTGGGGGAGAATGGAGGGCTTGTGGGTGGGAGGGACAGAAGGGCATGTGGGAAAAGGGAGGGCTTGGGGGATGGGGGAGAAGGGAGGTCCTGGGGGGAGGGGGGAGTGGGAGGAGGGGGGTGAGTGGGAGGAGAGGGGTGGGTGGGGGGAGGGTGCATTAGGCGAGTACTTAGTGGGGGGCTGACAGGGGTTGGAGCAGGTAGGGTGTCTGTTGGGTAGAATGTGGGGGTGGTGCTGCACTCCCTGTGGCTAATGCACTGTTTGAGGAGGGTTCTCCATTCCCCTCTGGGATTGTAAGGATCGGGGGTGTGGCTCCCTGATTCCTTTCTCTCTCCCTGTGCTCCTTCCTCGCGTCTGCTGCCTGCATTCTCTCTTCCCTTGTCATATTCCTCTGCAAGAATACTCTTTTGAACTTCTCTACACCTGTTAGACAGCACTTCCTTTCTAACAGTTCCTCTTTCGCGATTTCGCTCATGAAAACCACCTTTATCATTCGGTCTCTGTCATTGTTGTCCTTTCCAAGCCTGAAAACCTTTTCAACATTTTGCTCAGCTCCCTCCATCCTTACCTCTTTAAGGATCTCTTTAATCATGTTTTTGTCCTTGTCTCTCCGCTCCTTTGGTCTGGTCCCTGTTTGCTCTTTAATGTCTGCTACTACTACTGCTCTATTTCTCTCTATCAGCCGGCTAGTACATCTAGCCGCTTCCTGAGAGGAAGCCACTTCCATGGCAACTTCCTTAACTGCAGACCTAGCTTCAGGGCTCGTTTTAAGTATTTCAGCAAATGAGAGCTGAGGTGTAGAGGTCCCCTCCACAGTAGCATTCCTGTCTCCCTGAGGCACGGTGTGTGTGTGTGTGTGTGTGTGTGTGTGTGTGTGTGTGTGTGTGTGTGTGTGTGTGTGTGTGTGTGTGTGTGTGTGTGTGTGTGTGTGTGTGTGTGTGTGTGTGTGTGTGTACATTACCTCACTCTGTACACCAGAATAATTGACAACAGGCAGTACATACCAGCCAGAGCCTTCCGCTCACTCAACTTGATGAATAAAGAATGATGTCCTGATGTCGAGGTGGATCTGTCGTCACCCTCATGTGGATGTGTCACTAAATGCCAGTAGATTAGTGATGGTGGTTCTTCTCTAACACAAAGCTCTGGAGTCATTGTATCCTTATGACTTATGTATGTGTGTGTGTAATTACTTAAGTGTAGTTACAGGATGAGAGCTATGCTCGTGGTGTCTAGTCTTCCCAGCACTCTTTGTCATATAACGCTTTGAAACTACTGACGGTCTTGGCCTCCACCACCTTCTCACCTAACTTGTTCCAACCGTCTACCACTCTGTTGGCGAAAGTGAATTTTCTTATATTTCTTCGGCATCTGTGTTTAGCTAGTTTAAATCTGACCTCTTGTTCTTAAAGTTCCAGGTCTCGGGAAATCTTCCCTATCGATTTTATCAATTCCTTTTACTATTTTGTATGTAGTGATCATATCACCTCTTTTTCTTCTGTCTTCTAGTTTGGCATATTTAATGCCTCTAACCTCTCCTCGTAGCTCTGTCCCTTTAGTTCTGGGAGCCACTTAGTAGCATGTCTTTGCACCTTTTCCAGTTTGTTGATGTGCTTCTTAAGATATGGGCACCACACAACTCCTGCATATTCTAGCTTTGGCCTAACAAAAGTCGTGAACAATTTCTTTAGTATATCGCAATCCATGTATTTAAAAGCAATTCTGAAGTTAGAAAGCGTGGCATTGGCTCCTCACACAATATTCTTTATGTGGTCCTCAGGTGATAGTTTTGTATCTAGAACCACCCCTAGATCTCCTTCTTTATCAGAATTCTTTAAAGATTTCTCACATAATATATACGTTGTGTGGGGTCTATGTTCTCCTATTCCACATTCTATAACATGGCATTTCTTAACATTAAATTCCATTTGCCAAGTGGTGCTCCATATACTTATTTTGTCCAGGTCATCTTGAAGGGCATGACAATCATCTAAGTTTCTTATCCTTCCTATTATCTTAGCATCATTAGCAAACATGTTCACATAATGTTGTATACCAACTGGTAGATCATTTATGTAGACAATAAACATCACTGTTGCAAGAACTGAACCCTGAGGTACTCCACTTGTGACATTTCTCCAGTCTGATACATTGCCTCTGATCACTGACCTCATTTTTCTATCAGTCAGAAAATTTTTCATCCATGTTAGAAGCTTTCCTGTCACCCCTCCAATCTTTTCCAGTTTCCAGAACAACCTCCTGTGTGGAACTCTGTCGAAAGCTTTTTTTAGGTCCAGATAGATGCAGTCAACCCAACTATCTCTTTCCCGTAGTATCTCTATTGCTTGATCATAGAAACTGAGTAAATTCGATACACAGGATCTTCCAGATCGAAAACCATACTGTCTGTCTGATATCATATCATTTCTCTCAAGGTGAGAGAAATTTAGTTTGACCCATTTAGTTTTCATTATTTTTTCCAATATTTTGACTATTACACTTGTCAATGATACAGGTCTATAATTAAGGGGGTCTTCCCTGCTTCCACTTTTGAAAATTGGAACTATGTTAGCCTTTATCCACACATCAGCTACAACTCCTGTAAACAGGGATGCCTGAAAAATCAGTTGAAGTGGAATGCTGAGCTCAGGTGCACATTCTCTCAGAACCCATGGTGAAACTCCATCTGGACCAACTGCCTTGTTCTTATTTAGCTCCTTGAGTATTTTTTCCACTTCGTCTCTAGACACTTCTATGTGCGCTATATTGTTCTCTGGAATTCTTATTGTGTCTGGTTCCCTGAAGATTTCATTTTGTACAAACACACTTTGGAACTTTTTGTTTAATGTTTCACACATTTCCTTTTCATTTTCCATGAATCTATTTCCCATTTTCAATCTCTGGATATTATCCTCTACCTGCAATTTGTTGTTTATGAATCTATAGAATAGACCTGGTTCTGTTTTACATTTGTCTGCAATCCCTTTTGCAAAATTTCTTTCTGCCTCTCTCCTCACTGCCGTGTAGTTGTTTCTCGCATCTTTGTATCGCTGGTATGTTTGGGGGTTCGGCCTCTTCCTGTATTGATTCCATTTTTGTGTCTTTTGGTCTCTGGCCCTCTCGCACTTTCTGTTGAACCAATCCTGTTTCCTAGTTCTGCTTCTCTGTTTTGGTATAAATATTTTTGTGCCTTTATCATATATTTCACAAAACTTGACATACATCTCATTCACTTCCTTGCCTAGCAACAAGTCTGTCCAATTATACTCACTAAAATTTTTTTAAGGTTGCCATAATATTCTCTCCTAAAGTCAGGTTTTTCAATTGCATCAACCTTCTTATTTTCTTCCAGATTATAACGCATTGCATACTTTATTTCCAAAAAGACATGGTCACTTTTACCCAAGGAAGAAAGGTACTGAATGTCATATATTTCTTCCTCCTTCCTGGTAAATATCAAATCTAGCATGGAGGGAACGTCCCCTTTCCTCATCCTCGTGTGTGTGCATGTGTGTGTGCGTGTGTGTGTGTGTGTGTGAGTGTGTGTGCGTGTGCATGTGCGAGTGTGCGCGTGTGTGTGTATGTGTGTATGTTTCAGTGTGTTTCAGTGTGTGAATGGGTTTGTGGTTTTGTGTGTGTGTGTGTGTGTGTGTGTGTGTGTGTGTGTGTGTGTGTGTGTGTGTGTGTGTGTGTGTGTGTGTGTACTCACCTAGTTGTACTCACCTAGTTGTGTTTGCGGGGGTTGAGCTCTGGCTCTTTGGTCCCGCCTCTCAACTGTCAATCAACAGGTGTACAGATTCCTGAGCCTACTGGGCTCTATCATATCTACACTTGAAACTGTGTATGGAGTCAGCCTCCACCACATCACTTCCTAATGCATTCCATTTGTCAACCACTCTGACACTAAAAAAGCTCTTTCTAATATCTCTGTGGCTCATTTGGGCGCTCAGTTTCCACCTGTGTCCCCTTGTGCGTGTGTCCCTTGTGTTAAATAGCCTGTCTTTATCTACCCTGTGTACCCTACCCTAGGCTGTGTGTGTGTGTGTGTGTGTGTGTGTGTGAGTGTGTGTGTGTGTGTGTGTGTGTGTGTGTGTGTGTGTGTGTGTGTGTGTGTGTGTGTGTGTGTGTGTGTGTGTGTGTGTGTGTGTGTGTGTGTGTGTGTCTGCCATGTATGACCATTAGGCCTTCAGCAGAAACCTTAATTCTTATGACCTTATGTTCACTCTAGTGTAATTAATCTTGTGATTATAATATATTGTACTTTCATGTTTTCAAGTGTTTCAAAGTCCTCCCACTTCATGTTCTTGATCACCTGGGCTCAGACGTCGGCACCAGGACAGTCTTCTGAGGGCTCTTCACTCTTACTCTACCGCTCGTCACAGTGATCATTACTGGATAAAGTGCCCATCTCTGTGCTAAGTGGCTATCAGTTTACAAGATGGGATCATCAAAAGAGTTAGGCGATAGTCTGTAAATATTATGATCATCTCTGGGTAAGGAAATCGTTAATGGGTAATCAGATCATTAATAGTAAAGGTGAAAAGGGTTGAGAAAGGTGCTCTTCAATGGGTAAGGAGGGATCAATGTGTAATCATAAACGAGTATGGTGAACATAAATGGGTAATTTGAGCATCAATGGATATGATGGTGCTATCCTCGGGTCAGATGGTCATCAATGGGTAGGGTAGTGATATCAATGAGAAGGATGGTCATAAGGTGGGTACCATATACACGAGAGTAGAGGTAACTGGTAGACAGGAGTAGTGGTGGTAGTGGAAGCTTACCCTTGAGTAGCAGGGAGAGGTAGGTAGGTGGAGCAGCGGTGGTGTTGGTGTGCTTCTCTCCGTCACCTCCGTGAGACCATCTCGCCTTCTCGTTCAGCTCTGCTCATGACCCGAGAGAGCCATGAGGGCCACCACATAGAGAATAATGTATTCAAATAAAGAAAATGAGAGAGAGAGCGAGAGAGAGACATATACATATACCAAAAACATATAACAGGCCTTTAGGTTCCTACAGAGAAGACCTGGTATGAAGAACACATATCTTAAATGCTTTGCGTATTAGAGGCTTTATATAATGTACAATTTTTGTACCAACTAATGAACCACTAACACTATTATTATTATCATTGTAATTATTCTCTGGGAAAACTATCTTAGTTTATTAAATTCTTTCACTTTAATTAGTTTTATCCTTTTTGAACTTTGTAAATGATACTTTACTTCTCAAAAATTTATATTACACATAGCTTTACTAGATAGCGTTCTCGGCAGTGTCCAGGTCTTCGCTGGGCCAACTTCTCCTTCTCAACCTCGCTCACATCTTACCCACATCCCCCTCCCATGTCTTTCCCCCAATATACCTTCTCCATTTCCCTTCCTTCACTGTAAACATTTTCCCAACACATTGCCATCATCACTGTAAACATCACACCTTACCTATCTCCACCCACATACATCCACTCTGTCTCCGCCACGATACACCCTCACAATCTCCCTTTATCATCATAACCACCCAGAATGCAAGTCTGCCATCTGAACTTACGTTTCGCATTTGGCACTTCACTAATATTCAAACGAACACTAAACTCTACGTACAAATGACAGAATATTTAACATCCACTGACATGGCAAAGGAAGTATAGGGGCTATAGGAAGTGTCACAGGGTACCCGACCCTGAACCCACACTGTGATACCATGCAATCACCAGGAAATATGTGAAGTTTAATGAGGCTAGCCCCAAGCATACATCCTCCAAGCTTAAACTGGTAGACATTCCATTTTATATATACAGCCAGTGTCTCATTCTCCTCCATGAGAAACTATGGCTGTTTCTCACCGTCAGTTCAGCCTAAAACTGAAGACAGTGTTTCCACAAGATTCACTGATCAAACTAATGCCAGGCGGCCCATACAGTTCCATTATTCGTCCAGAGCGTGTCTGCAGCTCTCTTTCTCAACAGTCCCTGAGAATGTTTCCAATTTCTCTCTTGCTCAGTAGTTCAAAAATGTTCATATAGTCTCCATTCTCTATTACACATAGAGAAATTCCCTCATAATGTCTCTATGGTCCCTTTGCTCGGTAGTCCCTCGGAATATTTCAATATCCCACATGCTTAGCAGTCTCCTTGTATTTGTTTAGAGCCCCCCTTGCTCTGCAGCTCCCAGAACGTTTATACAGACCGGATACTCAATAGTCCTCCAGAATGTTTATACAGTCCCCTTGCTCAGTAGCCCCGAGAACGTTTAGCCAGTCTCCATGATAAATAGTCCCCCAGAATATTTATAGTCCCCACATTAAGTAATCCCTCATCTAGCCGCTACTGCTTATCAACAAAATATATAAATACTAGTTGACCAGACCACACACTAGAAGTTGAAGGGACGACGACGTTTCGGTCCGTCCTGGACCATTCTCAAGTCGATTGTGAAGAAGAGGTAGAGACAGGCAATAAATAGGCAAGAGAGAGCTGAGGAGGAAAGTAAGGTGTAGGGGATAGTAGTAATAATGAGAACTGCAGAGGGCCTATTGGCCCATACGAGGCAGCTCCTATTATAACCACCGAATGAGGAGATAGTAATAGGAATATGAAGAGGATAGCAAGGGAGCGTAGGAGAAGACAATGAACAGAAAAAGGGGAGAAGAAAGAAAAGGAAAGAGAAAGAAAGATAAATGGAAGGGGTAAGCTTATGTTAAGTCACGTTTGTTAGAAAGATTAGAGCATTTGAGTATATACTGTGAAAGGGAAGAGTCCACAGCAACAAAGCCACTACTCAAGTTCATGTTGGGTACATTGTCTATCAGAGCCGATTCTACAAGACGGCGTCTGTGAAGAGTAGAGGCAGGAAAGATTATTTTGGAGGAAGACCAATCAATGGGATGATTAGAATCCCTCACATGGCAGAAGAGAGCATTGTTAGTGTCTGCAGACTTAACACTTCTCTTGTGTTCTTTAAGTCTGTCATTCAGACAGACTAACAATGCTCTCTTCTGCCATGTGAGGGATTCTAATCATCCCATTGATTGGTCTTCCTCCAAAATAATCTTTCCTGCCTCTACTCTTCACAGACGCCGTCTTGTTGAATCGGCTCTGATACACAATGTACCCAACATGAACTTGAGTCCTGGCTTTGTTGCTGTGGACTCTTCCCTTTCACAGTATATACTCAAATGCTCTAATCTTTCTAACAAACGTGACTTAACATAAGCTTACCCCTTCCATTTATCTTTCTTTCTCTTTCCTTTTCTTTCTTCTCCCCTTTTTCTGTTCATTGTCTTCTCCTACGCTCTCTTGCTATCCTCTTCTTATTCCTATTACTATCTCCTTCTCATTCGGTGGTTATAATAGGAGCTGCCTCGTATGGGCCAATAGGCCCTCTGCAGTTCTCATTATTACTACTATCCCCTACACCTTACTTTGCTCCTCAGCTCTCTCTTGCCTATTTATTGCCTGTCTCTACCTCTTCTTCACAATCGACTTGAGAATGGTCCAGGACGGACCGAAACGTCGTCGTCCCTTCAACTTCTAGTGTGTGGTCTGGTCAACATACTTCAGCCACGTTATTGTGACTCATCGCCTGCATATAAATACTACCATACCCTGAGGTGATTCCATGAGGTGATTCTGGGGCTTAGCGACCCCGCGGCCCGATCGTCGACCAGGAGGCCATCATTACCGAAAGATCAGAATAAGATTTTATTCTAAGATATCTGGACCAAGGAACCAGGAGTATTCTGTGTCACCTAATTCTTGGTTAGGAGTGCCATGCCAAAAGTAGTACCAGTTTGCTGGCCCTTAGCTCGAATAATCTTTAAAACACTTATTGTTCACTACAGGGAACATACATGTAACAGTCTGCTATCGACACTCTAGTACCGATAATGACTGTCTCGAGGAGGAATGCCAGGCGAATTGATATGTAGTAATATGTTCCCCAGGTACAATCAACACACAAGGGATCAATCGTTAAAAAATTGTTGGAAATCCGACACACAAAATAATGCAGTTACCCCATGAAAAAATCAGAGAACAGGTATTCCATGACGTCATCCAACAGACATCTATATATTGAACTCTTATTTCTCTCAAACAACAGTCTAGTGTTTAAACTCAATAAAAAAGTGTTCACAAGGACTGAATACAATTACCAACACAAGAAGTATAGCTTGACTCCCTTGTTACTGTTAAATAAAATCCAAAGTACAACCAGGATATTATCACAACACAGAGAGGGCAGCGTCACAACAAAGACTCATAAGACTCCTGGTTCAACCATGATGCCGAGCGGACGTCTGGATACCTCCTCCGCCTGGGAGCCGCCGGATCACCTTCTGTTTTCGCGTTTTGGCTTTGCAACTGCCGTTTGGCATCCCTCTTCAATGATCCGATTGTACGACGCCTGGCGCACATATCGCCTTGGGTCACGGGATTGTTGATAGATTTTTTCTTCGGTCACGGGATTGTTGATAGATTTTTTCTTCGGTCACGGGATTGTTGATAGATTTTTTTTTTTTGGCGTGTTCTGGCAGGTTCTCCCGGGGATGTGACGGTGTTTGGGGGCCGGCTTGGCCGAGAGGTGCCGGGGGTTGGCGGGTTTTGGTGGGTTCCTGGTGTGCCCTCAGCCGTGCTGGGCGGCCGGCTTCTGCTCTGCCGGAGGACGCTGGATGATTTTTTGTGTTTTAGTTGGGGGCTGAGTTTTGGTTTTGCTACCTGGTGTTCTCTGTGTGGAGCGGCGCCGGTGCTTGTCACCCTGAGGGACTCCTGGGACTCCCCAATCATCTGCCTGACTGTGCGTTTACTTGCCGTATGGCATATTAGTTTCTAGTGATTGGCGTCACTCGTTTCGCGTTTTGGCTTGGCGTTTTACCTTTCCTAGCTTCACGATTCACCCTTAACGGGTAAGCCGGGGCGCATCTATCCCACGATCGTCGTCGACCCTAAATCAACAACAACAACAAAGAATCATAACAAACGACTTGCTGTAGAGGTGGCTCTTTACGCACCGGCAAAACTCGTTAAGACACCCAGATTATGTGTCAACAAGCGAGCAGCAACCACAACAGCCTCTCAACAACCACAGTAATGCTTGAGTATCCGACTGCTTTGTATTCTGGTATTATTTGGTGCACCATATAAAATAGATTAAGTAGCCGGTTATTAGCATGAGAAAAAAATAAACAGAGTGAGTAGCATTTTACTCACCTCCTTACTACATACACAGATATTCATGTCACATGTACCTTATATGTTAATGTGCTTTACTAATGTTAAACATCTCAAAATGGCAATTGTGAGGGAAGTTACTGAAGCAGACAGTTGGCCCCGAATATAACTGGTTTTACTCTGTTGTACACATAGACGCCAGTTGCCCAGGACGCCATTTATGCTCTCTGAGGCACAGGGCCACACCCTAATCTGAAGTGGAACAGACAACCTAATTAGGCCATTACAACCACCCAGCTAAGGCCTATATGTTCTTTGACACTGTAGATAGAGTAGTTTATAATTAGTTATAAGAATTGTAGATTAGACGACCATATGTGGAATGATTTATAATTTATATAGTAACAATAAGGTAAACATTTGCCTACAGTTATCCACTCACAGTGGTGTAAGCATTTGTCCCTTCCATTGTGTGTGATAAGCTTTAGCAGGTTGAATTATAATATACAGTCCACTAAAAAACTAAGAACAATAATTCAATATTGAAGTTTAACTAGAAAATAATAAAATAACAATAATATCATATTCAAGTAACAAAAAATAATTTAAAGTAAATATCTGAATATTCATAAAAAGAAAAAGAATAAAGCCTGCTAGGATTTTCCTACAAACATTATTCTAATTGGATATATTAATGGATTTTCCAAACTATACTTCCCCAGTTGAGGAAACTGAATTAAAGAGGTACGTGAAGAGAGCACAGACTAGAGAGCTCTATTTACGTTCACAGATAAATAGATAAATTTCCGCACTTGACCTGAGGAAAGCTGATGTTCTTCCTTCCCAAGGTTCGTGCACTACCCACATACACACATATACCCACAGCTCTCACTCGCTCTCTGTCCTCGGTCTGTCCTTTATGTTATATACAACAGTTTATGTGAGGTTCCCCCAGCATCGTTTGATGAATATTTAAAGGTTGTAGCATTGCCTAATCCCCAGTGGATTAGCAAGGTTACAACATAATTGACAGCATAGTTACTGCTTACACCTTTAAGCTGACCTGACCTGTCCTTGATTAGTGCCAGTATAAATTTTGAGTTTTTATTGTTCATCTTGATTGGTTGCTGCTGCACCCAGACATGTTCCATTGTTATATTGTTCTGCTCTGCTATTTGTTATGACCCAACATACCCCAGTATGACTGGTTTATGTTGTGATCATACCGTATTGGGATATAAGGCAGGATAGCCTAGTATCACTTATATTTTGAATATATAAACTACCATTATTGGCTATACTATAATGTGTTTTCCGTATTTTTTCTTACGTAGTAAACCAATACTTGACATGTATCACTGTTGTATGAAATATTATTATATATTAATAGATATATTCTGTAGTAGAAGGTTAAGAGCAGTAGCCTACTTTTCTTGATACCTACTGACTTAATTAAAATTGATATATATGTATTTGGAGGATATATACACATAGCAGGGTTTAGAGATAATGTTGTGTATATTTAATTTGTATTGCTGTATCATTATGAATTAATGAATATTGTATTATAGAAGAGTGTTGGCGGTTGACTTGGCAGTAATCTTTTGAATCCTCCCTTTCCTCCCCCCCCCCTAACCCCCTCCTAGCTTGCCAACCGGGCTCAGTACTACCAACTCTTGTAGATAGAAACTCTCTCTTTGTATCTTCGCCTATGATAATATTTTCTCTTGTGTGTGTATATACTGATCTTATGTTATACTATGAGTTGTATTTTGTGAAACAAAATTGCACATGTATTTAGCTCGGGGCGGAAAAAGTTACGAAGTACAGTGAAATGAGTGATAATGTTTGAAAGAGTACTGACGGTTGATATGCCAAGTTGGTTCAGTGCGATCGGCACTTGCCGCCTGGCACTGAACCTCACTGTCCTGTGGGTTGTCTGAAACCACCGCACCAATGATCATAAACAGTGCCGGTGGTCACGGTACTGAGTAAGTTTATGGGTCATCCTGGACGGCATGGGTTCGTATCCAGGGCGGATTAATTTGAGTTCTTAGTGATCTATGGCTTCCATGTTGTTACACCTGTCTGTCTAAGATTTTAACCTTTCATGAGAGGAGCTCTTTCTGATATGACTGCTTGCGGTTCATGCCACTTAGTGTAAAAAATGGGGTTCCATGTTCTCTCAAATAAGTGAATTGTGTCAATGAAAACAAACTCCTGGTCTGTGGGTACCGAGTTGATGTTGTGTCATTGGAAGAAACAGCCTAGGCTACCAATGACTTTTAACAGTCGGGTAACCATTTGGTCAAGGTACTGGACTAGTCAGTGTGTTCATTACACCTGTCTGTCTGACGTTTGAACCTTTCATGAGAGGAGCTCGCTCTCTCTCTCTCTCTCTCTCTCTCTCTCTCTCTCTCTCTCTCTCTCTCTCTCTCTCTCTCTCTCTCTCTCTCTCTCTCTCTCTCTCTCTCTATATATATATATATATATATATATATATATATATATATATATATATATATATATATATATATATATATATATATATATATATATATATATATATATATATATATATATAATATAATATAAAGAGGGAGTACTCCAGTTTCTTGCGCGAAAGTGAGCTCCATAATATTATTGACCGCCTAGCGTTTAACACGCACCTTGGTATCCCTTAAAGACAGCCTTTTCAGTGACGAGCTCCTGTATAGTAGTAGGTGCTCTGATGACTCCCCTGAGAGCGAGGCACACCTGTACTGCGTGGTGGTAACTCAGCAGTGGAAGTCTAATCGTCTGGATGCCCCTGGTCTGCGACTCACACAGCTCCCCTAACGACACTTCCTGCAGGGAGGATGGAAACAAACGATAGGTGAGACACTCATGTTAGTTTCTGGTAGTTAGGGGCTCATTTGACCTATTAAAACACCATGTCATGTAACCAATATACCTTCTTTACTAAATTTTTTCACTACTCTCAAGTTAACTGCCTACTTATATTGTATTTTTGACTCATATAAATGCATACTTTCCATCCCCCCAACTCATCAAATTCCATGAATGTCTCTTTATACTTTTGATACACTGGTGATTATTTTGTCACAGATAAATTGTTGGGATCATGTCTTCCATATGTCTTCTTTCCCTCAGTGATGTGAGGATCATTATCTTTATCCTAGTAACTAATGTTTTTCAGGTCTGGTGGCAAAAATCAATATTTCGCAAAGTGTATTATGTGCTTGTTGAGAAAACGGCTCCATGCTGGCGATCCATACTCAAGCACTGGTCTAACATACATGAAGAACAGTGCAGTGGATGACTCTTTGCTCAGATGTAGGAAGGTGCTGTAATTCTCATGAGAATGCATTAAGTCAGTAAGACTGTACAACAGTTGAAAGTTGTCGGAAAAACCGACACTATTACTAACATTTAATACAATAAGATGTTAATATTACTGCGGTTTTTGTACTACGTTATTCATCCTAAGAAAACGAGAGAGCAGTGGAATTTTCCCCTGGAAGTAAATGGGGTTATCATTGCCACATCGCTATTAAATTCACCAGCTAATAATACTGGGAATTCTTCTTAAAACATCAGTCTCTGGACTGTAAACACCATAACAACGTCTTCCATTGAACCAACCTAATTATCAGTACTAAAATAGATCATAGATAAACTACTTCTTGATAAAACGCATCTGGAGAACAAGTGAGGCCCGAGGGAGAGAGCGGGATGGGCAGTAGACATTTTCAATCTGGACAGTTCAAGCGTGTCGTGTTGCCATATCAATTATTTCATTATTTATGAGTTAATTTTTTGCCGCCTGTCAAAAATCGGGTGGCAAAAATAGGACAAATTTGGCCCAGCCAAGTTATTATCGAAGAGTTAGCCCAAACTGACATCATCGTTACCAAGGAAGGCATTGTATCCGTACAGTATACTAAATGATTTATAGAGCTCTATTAATTATATATATTTACTGCTATGGTTATGCCGAATATAAACAATTAGCCCAAGGATGAACAATAAGTCAAACTTCTCTTTCAAAATATTATAATAAACATGTAAACAGAATAATTTATGTGCAACAAATATTCCTGTGCAATCTCGTTGGCAGGTGAGTTAAGAAGTTGTGTTATTTATGTGGAAACACTCCAAGACGGGAGACCACGTGACTGGCTCGCTAACCACTTACTCTACACCAATAACAGGGTGCTGAAGCCTTCCCCAGTATTTACTAACCTATGTAGTATTAACAATGTAGTGAATGTCTACCAACAGATTAATTTCGATTGATAGACAACATAATATAAACACCCCAGCTTGTGTAGAAAACGATTTGTGGCAATATAAATTCACACTGTCCGCTATCGAAATAAATAAATTAACATAAGAAATAAATTAAAATAAATTGCTGAATAAATAAATCCCATGCGTCAGTTTCCCTACAAAAGTAATGTAAGGAATAAGAAGCGGGGATATGAGAACAAGGAAAATGGATATGAGGACAAAGAATTGTTATCTGATAACAAGGCGCTGTTATATTAGGAAAAAGAGCTGAGATATTAGGTTGTTGCTGATGTCCTTGTTTTAGATTTAGTGACTATTGGTGACTAAAATTTCCATGGTGCACAGGTTATGGTGAACTCGTCTAGATATGAGGACAAGAAGCTGGGATATGAGGACAAGGAGCTGGGATATGAGAACAAAGAGGTGGGATATTAGGAAAATAATAGATGGGATACAATCTTGAGATGATTTCGGGGCTTAGCGTCCCCGTGTCCCGGTCCTCGACCAGGCCTCCTTCTTATTAAACCTCCCCCCAGGAAGTAGCCCATAGCAGCTGTCTAACTCCCAGGTACCTATTTACTGCTAGGTAACAGGCACATCAGGGTGAAAGAAACATTTTGCCCATCTGTCTCCGCCTCCACCGGGGATCGAACCCGAAACCTCAGGACTACGAATCCGAAGTGCTGTCCACCCACCTGTCACGCGCCCATAAGGACTGTGAGGTGCCTATAAGGACATGGAGCTAGAATACTAGGACATGCAGCTGAGGTATGAGAACAAGGAACTGGGATATTGTGACCTATGGAGCTAGTATATGGGGACAAGTTGCTGGGATATTGTGACATATGGAGCTGGTATATGGGGACAAGTTGCTGGGATATTGTGACATATGGAGCTGGTATATGGGGACAAGTTGCTGGGATATTGTGACATATGGAGCTGGTATATGGGGACAAGTTGCTGGGATATTGTGACATATGGAGCTGGTATATGGGGACAAGTTGCTGGGATATTGTGACATATGGAGCTGGTATATGGGGACAAGTTGCTGGGATATTGTGACATATGGAGCTGGTATATGGGGACAAGTTGCTGGGATATTGTGACATATGGAGCTGGTATATGGGGACAAGTTGCTGGGATATTGTGACATATGGAGCTAGTATATGGGGACAAGTTGCTGGCATAGGACAATAAAGAGCTGATTATTAAACAAAAATGCTTGGGTATGAGGACATGGTGCTTGGATATGAGAACAAATTGCAGGCATATGAGAATAAAGCGCTTAGATATAAGGACAAAGATCTGGACTATGTGGGCAAAATAGAAAAGGAGCTGGTATATGAGGACAAGGTGCTCAGATATGAGGACAAGGTGCTCAGATATGAGGACAAGGTGCTCAGATATGAGGACAAGGTGCTCAGATATGAGGACAAGGTGCTCAGATATGAGGACAAGGTGCTCAGATATGAGGACAAGGTGCTCAGATATGAGGACAAGGTGCTCAGATATGAGGACAAGGAGCTGGTATATATGGACGGGAGAAATGATAGGTGCCCAACTATGTCCACTTCTGGAATCGAACGTCGATCTTGCAAGGTCGTCTCTCTGCCGGTTACGGCATGTTTGGATGGACAGGAAATCAGTTTCTATGTTTACGAACCTTGCATGTATTGTTATTTTGCATGTTGTTATAAATGTATACTCACCTCTTCCTCCAGGTCATTCATCGTCCATTGGCCCTCCCAGTTGACGACGTCACCCACCATGTTGACCTTACAGCGAGCCAGGTCAAGGATCTCTTGAGCCGTCAACACGCGCCTCCATATGTTGACCTGACTCATCTTCCCACTCAGCGAGTAGGGTGGCTGGTTCAAGCCATTTCAAATGTTTTCAGAACATCATACATGGCCATAAGAGTATTCGAGGTTATTAATACAGCTGATACATTTCAAATATTAAGAATAACTTAATTAGTATTTTGAACCTAGTTTATAGTTACTTGTCACCAAAATCTTCTTGAGACTTTACGCTTTCCTAGCAACTAACAACAACTCGGATTTTCTGAGATTTCTTGGTACCAATAGACCACCTTTCTCAGTCTACTATGCCTGCAAGAGCTCTACAAAACCATTCCTACCTTATTCTTACCCTCTACCAGCCTACAATGGCCTGGTTCAGCCTATTATTGCCCATACTTGCCTACATTGATGTCTTATAGCCAACCTTGATCTTTCACAACCTATCATGGCACCTCCCCACATACTCTAACTTCTTCCACAGTACTCAGCTAATGGCGACTTCTCAGCCTTCCACAACCATTCCGGGCCAACCACGACCTTTCACACCCTATCATGGTCCCTCTTCTCCCTACCAAGACGTTTCCTTGTCTAACTTGACCTTTCACAGCCCATCAGACAAAATGTTTCGCTAACGTTTTTAAATAGTTGTAGAAAGGTAACACTGAAACTTTGTATATTAAGTAGCTCTTTAACTATCAAAATAATTTATTTTCAGTCAGCCAAATCTTAGATCTTTTAGCTTACGTACAAATTACATTTTTTATGAAGTTTAATGCATGTATTTAAAATTAAAACAATTAGAGTGAATGTGCATGTGGTTTGTTTGTGTTTGTACTCACCTAATTGTACATGCGGGGGTTGAGCTTTGTCTCTTTGCTCCCACCTCTCAACTGTCAATCAACTGGTGTACAGATTCCTGAGCCTACTGGGCTCTATCATATCTACATTTGAAACTGTGTATAGATTCAGCCTCCACCACATCACTTCCTAATGCATTCCATTTATTAACTGCTCTGACACTGAAAAAATTCTTTCTAACACCTCTGTGACTCATCTGGGTACTAAGTTTCCACCTGTGTCCCTTTGTTCGTGTCCCACCCGTGCTGAAGAGTTTGTCTTTGTCCACCCTGTCAATTCCCCTGAGAATTTTGTAGGTGGATATCATATCTCCCCTTACTCTTCTGTTTTCCAGGGACGTGAGGTTCAGCTCCTTTAGCCTTTCCTTGTAGCTCAATCCTCTCAGTTCCGGGACGAGCCTGGTGGCATACCGCTGAATCTTCTCTAACTTTGTCTTGTGTTTAACTAGGTATGAACTCCAGGCTGGAGCTGCATATTCCAGGATTGGTCTGACATAAATGGTATACAGGGTCCTGAACGATTCCTTGTGTATTCACCTTGTTGTATTCACCTACTTGTGCTTCCGGGGGATGAGCTCTGCTCTTTTGGCCCGCCTCTCAATTGTCAACCAATCAAATTATTTTTTTTGACACACACACACCCAGGAAGCAGCTCGTAACATCTGTCTAACTCCAAAGGTACTTATACTTATTTACTGCTAGGTGAATAGGTGCATTTCATGTTTTTTTCTACCTTCGTCTGGAATCGAACGTGGGCCCTTAGAACTATGACCCCAAAGTACTGTCCACTCAGCGACGAGGCTCTGTATGTGTTTGTATATATTTATTACTAGCAGTACCAGCCACACGTTGTTGTGATGCTGAGCCACAGCAACCTTCTCTGTCCCTCAGTCCTTCCCACCATTCTCTCCTCACCCGTCTCCTCAGCCTCCCAACCATTCCCCCACTCAACCATCCCCTCTTTCTTCCCACAATGCCCCCACTCCATTGTCTCTTTTTCCCCTCCACCATTCTCCATTCCCCCATCCCCTCATCCCCGCCATTCCAAACTCCCCTGTCCCCTCATCCTTCCCCACCATTACCCCCTCCCTAGTTCCCTCGTTCTCCCCACCATCTCTCACTTCCGTCCCCTCCTCATATCCCCCCTCCCCCATTCCCCACGCCCTCGTCCTATGCCTTCCCAAATGGGGCGATGTTCCCGTCAGAAAATTGGGAACATCAAGTGATCTGATGTTCCCATCGCTGAAATATAAGAAAAACAGTTAACAAAAAACAGTAAAAAAATTAAATGAAAACATGAAAAAATAAAAAAAATAAACTATACTCATAAAATGAATGGTATTGTAAACAACACAGCTCAATTCCAACGCAATTCACACAAAATAAATAAATCAAAATGAAAATAAATCAAAATTTACGAAAATTCAATTTATCAATGCAATCAGGAACATTGAAATGGAATTGCAACATATTTAGTATAGCATGTGTGTTGCTCATGCATGCAACAGATGGCGCTGTTTGTCAAAAAATGCATAGTTTTACCTGTCACAGGTGTGGCATCTATACTTATACTTACGAAATGAACGGTATGATAAACAACACAGCTCAATTCCAACACAATGTCACACAAAATAATTCAATAAAAAATAAAATTAATCGAAATATACGAAAATAAAATTTATTAATGCAATCGGAAACATTGAAATGGAATTCGTGACGTATTTAGTATAGCGCGAATGTTGCTATTATGTGCAACAGATGGCGCTGTTTTTCAAAAACGAACCTCTGCTTATTTGTTTCTTCCTTGGCTGAAAATCGAATCCGGGCCCTTAAGACTACGACTTCCGATGCTGTCAACTCAGCCGCGGGGCTCTGTGTGTGTGTATTTGCGTGTCTGAGAGAGTTTGGATTTTGTTTGGTGTTTGTGTACTCACCTATTTGTACTTGCGGGGGTTGAGCTTTGGCTCTTTGGTCACGCCTCTCAACTGTCAATCAAGCCTAGTTGATTGATTAGCTCTATCATATCTTCACTTTAAACTGTGTATGGAGTCTGCCTCCACCACATCACTTCCTAATGCCTTCCATTTGTCAACCACTCTCACACTAAAAAAGGTCTTTCTAATATTTAATGTGTGTACTCATCTATTTTTGCATGCAGGATCGAGCATTGACTCTTGGATTCCGCCTTTCTAGCCATCGGTTGTTTACAGCAATGACTCCTGTCCCATTTCTCTATCATAACTAGTTTTAAAATTATGAATAAAGTTTGCTTCCACAACCTGTTCCTTAAGTGCATTCCATTTTTAAACTACTCTCACGATAAAACAAAATTTCCTAACATCTCTGTGATTCATCTGAGTTTCCAGTTTTCACCCATGTCCCCTCGTTCTGTCAATATTACGTGTGAACATTTCATCAATTTCCACTTTGTCAATTCCCCCTGAGTATTTTATACGTTCCTATCATATCCCCCCCTCTCCCTTCTATTTTCTAGTGTCGTAAGGTTCAGTTCCTTCCGGCGATCTTCATATCCCATCCCTCATAACTCTGGGACGAGCCTCGTCGCAAACTTCTGAACCTTTCCCAGTTTCTTTAGGTGGGGACTCCATGATGGTGCGGCATACTCTAAAACGGGTCTCACGTGAAGTGTAAAGCGTCCTAAGAGCCTCCACACTTAGGTTTTTGAATGATGTTCTAACTTTTGCCAGTGTAGAGTACGCTGCTGTCGTTATCCTATTTATATGAACCTCAGGAGTTAGATTAGGTGTTACGCCCACTCACAGGTCTCTTTCTCATATCGTCACAGGTAGGCAGTTCCCCTTCATTGTGTATTGTCCTTTTGGTCTCCTATCACCTGATCCCATTTCCATAACTTTAAATTTACTCGTGTTGAACTCCAGTAGCCATTTCTCTGACCATCTCTACAACCTGTTTAGGTCCTCTTGGAGGATCCAACAATTCTCATCTGTCACAACTCTTCTCATTAATTTTGCGTCATCCGCAAACATTGACTTGTAGGATTCTACTCCTGTAAACATGTCATTTACGTAAATTAGAAATAGAAGTGGTGCCAGCACCGATCCTTGTGGTACTCCACTCGTTACTGTTCGTCAGTCCGAAATCTCGTCCCTTACCATTACTCTCTGGCTCCTTCCTGTTAGGTAGTTCCTTACCCATGCTAGGGCCTTTCCGCTTTCTCGTGCTTGCTTCTCAAGTTTGAATAGTAGTCTCATATGCGGTAATGTATCAAAGGCTTTTTGACAGTCCATAAATATGCAATTTGCCCAACCATCTCTGTCCTGCCTTATCCTCAATATTTTATAAAAAAATTACAAAAGGTTTGTTAAGCATGATTTCCCTGTCCAGAACTCATGTTGATGTTTCTTTACAAACCTAATGCTCTCCAGGTGTGCAACAAGTCTTAGCCTAATTATCCTTTCAAGTATTTTGCAGAGGATGCTTGTCAGTGATACAGGTCTGTAGTTAAGGGCCTCCTAACTCTCTCCTTTCTTGAAAATTGGTACAATAATTGCCCTCTTCCAGTAATTGGGCGATACCCCAGTCATAAGAGACTTATTAAAGATCATTGCCAGAGGCACACTGAGGGCCAGCACTGTCTCTTTTAGTATCCACGGTGATACTTTGTTTGGTCCAACCGCTTTTGTTGCATCTAGTGTTGTCAACTGTTTCATTACCTCCTGCTGTCACCTCTATATTTGATAGTCTTTCATCTAGGGTAACCCCTTCCAACAATGGGAGCTGCTCAGGCTCGGTAGTGAACACACCATGGAAACTGGAATTCAGTACTTCGCAGATTTCCTTGTCACTTTCTGTATATGCCCCCTCTGTTTTCCTTAGTCTTGTCACTTGGTCGTTCACCGACATTTTTCTTCTTATATGGCTGTGTAGTAATTTAGGTTGTTTTTTCGCTTTGATCGTCATATCGTTCTCATAGTTTCTTTCCGATACTCTTCTTATGTTAATGTATTCGTTCCTAGCTCTGTTACATCTGATCCTGTTGTCCTCTGTCCTTTGTCTTTTATACTTCCTCCACTCCCTCTTGCTTCTCATTTTGCTTCCGGATACTGACTATTAAACCATGGGTTATTATATTCCCTCTTACTTTGTTCCTTTATTGTTGGTATAAATCTCTCTTCAGCCTCCTTGCATTTCCGTATGACTAGGTCTATCATATCTTGGACGGTTTTT